CCCCGCGCATGAGATGCGCTGCAAGTATGATTCGAACACATCTCTCTCTCTCTCTCTCTCTCACACACACACACACACACACACACACACACACACAAATGGGGTCCGAAAGGGGGTCCGAAATCCTCCGACAGGTGAGTGCGCTGGGGGGCCCTGGCCCCCAACCGGGTGCCCTGCCCGGTCAGGCCGCCCGGGACCTCCCCCGGGCCCTGCCGGTCACCCAGGCGGCCCGGATCCCCACTCATCTTTTTTCCCTTTTCACATAGGCCGTCATGTGGCGGTAATCAGGTGGGTATCATCTCATCTGTTTTGCTTTTCCCTTGTCATCGGTTTGCCATCATTTTTTATTTTACACATAGGCCGTCATGTGGCGGTAATCGGGTGGGTATCATCTCATCTGTTTTGCTTTTCCCTTATCATCGGTTTGCCATCATTTTTTATTTTAACTTTTTTCACGCTGTTGTTTGCAGGTGGGTATGGTTGTTGGTGGCGGGAACTTTTTCCGCGGGTCCCATTGGGCTGGTGCCAGCGGACTGGATCGAGCCTCGGCAGATCAGATTGGGTGAGACTACTGAACACCCCCCGAAAAAGGGAAATAAAAAAGGTTTGCAAACATATGGCCTTCGCAGCAGCAGGCTTTTTTTTCGGTTTTCTTTTGCAAGGATTTTTTAATTTTTAAAAATTATTATTATTATTTTTGTAAATGGGCTCAGTGCCCTAGGGTGATAACACAATTGAAGTAGCGACCAAGTTTCATCAGGGACCGGTGGGCGTCTGGACTTGAACAGCAGACAGAGCCCCGTCTCTGTAGGGACGCTCACTTTCCAGCGGATACTAACTACGTTAGCAGAAGCAGTAGCGGACGTAGGGCTTGTGGAATGACCGGAGGTTCTTGGGTGTGTGGACTGGACGTAATTGCCGTAACTTTCTATGAATTGTACTCATCTATTGTGTTTTGGGCCAGACATTACCATCTTCACCTGAATGGAACGCCCGGTCATTATTGCTGGATCTAGACGGGAACTTGCCCCAAATACAGCTATAATCACTGGGCACTGTATTTAGGTGAAGACGCTAGTGTCCTCAATACATAGGCTATAAAAAAAAATCCTAGGGGAATCTGGCCACAATTATGGTCAGGTACATGCAGACTA